GGCTTGGGATGTGAGGGTCCTGGGACTGGAGGGCTGGGAATGTCTTGGTTCTCTATTGAGGGCCCTTCCACCAGCCTGTCTGTCCTCAGTTTCCCCTTGCTTCAGGCAGGGGACACTCTATGTGCTCTACAGCAGGAAGGACTGCGATTAGACTGAAGGGAGGACTTCCCAAAGGGTAGGCTGGGGACCATGTAAATTGGGGCTGTGGTGGAGGAGAAATTCCTTTCCAGGAATCTCAGAGCTGGAAGAGAATGCAGGAAGGGTCCAGGAGGGCATGAGGGTGGGCGGCAGTCCATCATTTCGGCTTCTCCCCAGATTCATGGGACCTAACACTGACTCATTATCTCTCTCTACAAAGCTAATTAACTCACTCAGAGCGCAGCCTGATAAGCTGCTAATTAACTAGCTGCACTACCCCCTCTTCCTTAGTGCAGCTGCTGGCCCAAGTCCCCCGGCCCCCACCCCCGACCCAGCACCCCTCTGGGGTCCCTTCCTTCCTCAGGACCTTCAGTGGGCTCCAGGTCCTCTCGCTCCCCAGGGAGGCCCAGTCATTCTGGTTTCAGTGTTCCCTTTCTGCCTCCCTCCACTGGGGGTTGGGGGTGTCTGAACAGATCCCAGCATTACCTGTCCCCTTCCTCCCCCCACTTGTGCCTCCCTCCGCTCCCGCTGCTGGGGGAGGGGGTCCCGCAGGGCCGATAATTTCCCCCCATTAATCAGGCCGCAGCTAATTGTTCGGGTCCAAAGGCGGCAGCGGAAGGGGACGGGATCGGTAAGGAATTAACTGGGGCCCATCGCTCAGCGCAGACAGGCCCTTTTGTCAGGACTGGCCAGCGTAGGCGGCGCGGGCTGCGGAGCCGGCGGGCCGAGGCGGGGGCTAATTCCTCTCCCCCCCGCCGTCTCCCGACCTCGGGCAGCCCCCGGGGGCTGCCCGAGGTCGGGAGACGGCGGGGGGGGGGGGCGCGGGCTGCGGAGCCGGCGGGCCGAGGCGGGGGCTAATTCCTCTCCCACCCGCCGTCTCCCGACCTCGGGCAGCCACTGGGGGCTGCTGCTTAGGGGAGCCCGGCTCCGTAGCACTGTCCAGAAGTCCTTCCTATGGTCTACTCCAGGGGTCAGCAAACTAAAGCTTGTGGGCCAAATCCAGCCGCCTGCGAGACGAGAATGGCTTTTACATGTTTAAATAGTTGGAAAACATTAAAAGACGAATACCAATTTCAGACGTGTGGAAATCGTATTTCAGAGTCTGTAAATAAAGTTTTGTTGGTACACAGCCATGCCCATTCCTCTATCTTCTATGGCTGCTTTCAGGCTACGATGGCAGGCAGAGTTAATAGTTGCCGCAGAGATCGTTTCGCCCGCAGAGCCTAAAATATTTACCATCTGGCCTTTTACAGAAGTTTGCCAACTCCTGGTCTAGCTTCCTGTCTCTCCTACTAAAATGGAGGCCCTGGGGGTTCTGCCTGTAATCCCACGTCCCATCCCTCCTTCTCTCCCTCCCTCCTCTGGGGCCCTGCCCTGTACGCAGCCCTCCCATAGGCCTCCAACGCCCTCGGTCCCCGGGGATGCCCGCAGAGAGGGTTTTAGTCTCAGTGTCCTGACTCGCTGCCCACTCCCCACCAGGGACGCCAGTGAACCGCGTGCCCATCATGGCGAAGCAGGTGCTGGACCTGTATGCGCTGTTTCGCCTGGTGACGGCCAAGGGCGGCCTGGTGGAAGTCATCAACCGCAAAGTGTGGCGGGAGGTCACGCGGGGCCTCAGCCTGCCCACTACCATCACTTCGGCCGCCTTCACTCTCCGCACCCAGTGAGGCCAGGGGAGTGAGCGGAGCGGAAGGGGCGCGCGGGGCGGGGAGGGGGCGGGGAGGGGGCCGGCGTGTGGGACACGACCGGCTGGCCCCAGCCTCCCACTCCCACCCCCAGCCCCACCCCACCCACTTCCCACCCACTTCCGCCTCTAGGTACATGAAGTACCTGTACCCGTACGAGTGCGAGACGCGGGCGCTCAGCTCGCCGGGGGAGCTCCAGGCCGCCATAGACAGCAATCGGCGCGAGGGCCGTCGCCAGGCTTACACCGCCGCCCCGCTCTTCGGCTTGGCGGGGCCGCCCCCTCGGGGCGCTCAGGGCCACCCCTCTGGACCTGGCCTCGCCCCGCCCGCGTCCCCGCTCGACCCCGCCCAGGGCTCCGCCTCCGGCCTGCCGGCGCACGCGTGCGCCCACCTGAGCCCGAGCCCTATCAAGAAAGGTGAGAAGGGCGAGGGGCGGAGGTTTGGGTGTTTCTGAGGTCTAGGCGGGATCTGAGATATAGGAAACATTAACATGTGGGGACTCTGAAGTCTGGGAAGCATTGAGGTATGGGAGCAGTAAGGTCTGACCGGGCTCTGAGGTTTGGGAGTCGCTAAGGTTTAGGGTCCTGATGTTTGGGGTCAATAAAACCTTGAGTGGTCTAGGGTACTGGTGACTGCGGTGATGAGCTGAAGCCCAGGAAAATATTCTTTATCCACAGCAGCTCCATTTCACACCTGTCCACCCAGGGCTCCTGTTTGCATGTGGTTTGTGCCTCCTGGGACCTGGAGTATTTAACAACCAAGAACAAGAAAATCCCTCAAACTCTCTTGGACCAACCTAGACATATATTGGCCCTTTGGGCTGTAAGGCAACCCCCAGGCTAAGGCTCTGATAGGAAGAGAGATTAAGTGAGGGATAAGAGATTGGTGCGTGAGCTTGGGTGACCTCTCTTGGTCCCAGGCCTGGGGGAGAACCAAATGCAGAGACAAACAGGGGAGCTGAAAAACCTATTCTTCCAGAGGAGAGTGGAACTCCAACCCCTCGCCTGGCAGTGCCTGTGGGCCTGGCCTTGGGACCCGCACGAGAGAAGTTGGCACCAGAGGAGCCACCAGAGAAGAGGGCTGTGTTGATGGGGCCTATGAACCCACCTCGACCCAGCGCCCCCCTCGGTTTTCTGCCCCGTGGGAAGGTTCCCCTGAGGGGTGAGGAGAGACTTGTTGGTGATGGGGCTTTGGGACTGTATGCTGAGGGAGGATAGACCCATCAGCTGATGGATGTTGGAGGTGGGGTACAGAGATCCCTCTATAAACAACATCGTGATTACAGGTGTGGAACTGGAGTGGTATGGGGGCTGTCTACAGGGATGGGGGGCACTTCTAAGTCTGAAGTCTGATTCCCCAAAACATGACTCTTTTGCCCCACCTCCTGGACAGAAGAGCGGCTGGATGGGCCTCTCAATCTGGCAGGCAGTGGCATCAGCAGTATCAACATGGCCCTAGAGATCAACGGGGTAGTCTACACTGGTATGGGTACTGTAGGCTGTCTACACTGGCATGAGGTCAAGAGTATTTAGACTGGCATGGGGATTTTAGAAATCAACATGGCCCTAGAGATCAACGGGGTAGTCTACACTGGTATGGGTACTGTAGGCTGTCTGCACTGGCATGAGGTCAAGAGTATTTAGACTGGCATGGGGATTTTAGACCTTCTCTACTAGCATGAGGTGCAGGGATATCTAAACTTGCATGGGTGACATGGGATTCAGAGGATTGCTATACTGGCAAGGGTTAAAGGGAGTGTCTACATGGCATGGGGTCCAAGGCATGACCTCTCTGGCATGGGTACCATGGGGTGTCTGCCTTGTCATGGGCCTATGTATCAGTGTAAATATTATTGACCTGTTTGAGTGTATTTACATTGGCATAAGAGTTTCTCACCGACCCAGTGGGCTTGTCCTCATTGGTTTGTGGCAGGGGTATGTGTGTGGTGTTCTAACAATCAAGACACTTACTTTTGTTCCCCTCTTCTGTTTCCATGTCCTACTCCCTCCTGCGTGTGTTTGCTCTCTACCATCTCCTCACCCCTTTGCTAGGCGTCCTCTTTGCCCGCCGCCAGCCTGTGCCAGCTGCCCAGGGCCCAACCAACCCTGCACCCCCACCCTCTACAGGGCCCCCTTCCAGCAACTTGCCCTGAGAGATCCTACTTGGAACTATGAGTCCTTACCCCATTGGTGAGGGGTGAAGGAGACCCCCCGCACCTTGATTCTTCCGGGGTGCCTATTCTGGGACCCAGCCTTGGGAGTTGACCACACCACCACCACCACTCCCGTGCCACGTGGACTTGAAGCCAAAGGGTTTTCTTTTGATGTTACATCTACCTCAATGTAAAAAGGAGGGCATGTCCCCCTTTGCCAATTCTAGCAGCATCTACCAAAGGATTCTTCACCCAGTAATCCTCGTCGTCCCCTCATGTGTCCACTATGTCAGTGTCATCTCTAGGGCCCCACCTCTTTGAGTCAGCCCTGCTACTCTTCAGGAGCCAGGTGAAGAGTTGGGTTGGGGTGTTGTGGAGACATCCCTCACGTCATATTTGGACAATAAAACTGCAGTCCCTCCCTCTCCAGTGACTCTTCTTCTTGTTTGGGTCTGGGAGGTGGGGAGGAATGGTGTGGTACATAGCATGCCTTGGGCCAGGGCCTCTCAGAGGAGGAGGCAGAATAGCGAGGCTCCATGAGAATAGAAGAGCTCCCTCTCTTGAATCTGACTGCCTGAGTTCAAGTCCCAATTCTGTCACTATAGTTCTGGATGGCCTTGGACAAGTCACTTAATCCTTTGAACCTTAGAAGATCTAGGTTCAATCATCTAGTCAGGAGGTAATAAGGCCTGGATAAGAATGCTTGCATTTCTCATGCCTGTATCCAGGGCTGAGGAACCAGAGAATATATATGCGGTGCCCCTAAACTCCAGAAGATTATGGCAACTCACTGAGCGTCCTACTGATTTATCTATAGGAATGAACCTGTCCTGGAATAGCAGGTGTATTTAAAGGTGCAGCCTCAGGAAATGAGGTGGGGAAACCTCTTTGGTACTGAAAAGGCAAAGGTTGTCCTGACAACTAGGCGCTGGAAGCCAGGGTAGGGTTGGGATAGATAGCCGTTGCCTAAGTAACCAAGACAGCTTTCGAAACCTTTCGCCAGCCCCTCGCGGTCACTTCCGGCACTGAAAGCGTGAGTCGTGGCGTCACTTCCTGCATTAGGGACGCCCCGTGCACTCCGATTGGCCCGCCTTTCTGTTTGGACGGACGTCCCGCCCTCTGGCTGTTCCCGGCTGAGGCGGGTCTGCAGTAGCGATGGCGGCTCTGACTGACGTGCAGCGGCTACAGGCCCGAGTGGAGGAGCTGGAGCGCTGGGTGTACGGGCCGGGCGGGGCGCGCGGCTCGCGAAAGGTGAGAGGTCTAGTCCGGTGGTCCTTTTCTGGGGCAGAGCATCCCACTAGATTATCCCTCAGAATGGATGCAACCGCTCCAGTCCTGTCGTCCGCAGCCTGGCCTTTGAAATAAAGATCCGGGACCTCCCGGAGCAGGTTGGACCCTTGGAATGCATTACCGTGGGGGCCCTGCGAGTGGGTTAGGCCTGCTTTAGATGGGCTCGGTGCCAACGTATCTGAGTCTCCTCCCCTGCCCTCACGGGCTAGTTAGGGAGACCTGACACACTCGAGAAGCTGACTTAATGAGTTTCAATAAGAGCTGAAGTCCACAATGGAAGTGCCGTCGTGGAGCTCTGCGTAATTAATTGCTAAATGAATTGCGCTGGGAGAGGTCCATGGGACCCCAGAGGAGGCAGAGCAGAAGCGGATAAAGAAGGCTCCAGGGAGCGAGAGGGGAGGTCTGAGAGAGCCAGGATTAGGAAGGGAAGGGATTGGATACCGGGTGTTGAGATGGGGACCCGCACTTCTTCACACCAGTGACTGAATTTTGACAACTATGAGGCTCAGGTGCCCTCCCATCCCCTTTTTACTATGGAAGACCTTTTACTGAAGAACTTCTGGTTGAGTGTCAGGCATATCCTGAAGCTAAGTGCATCAGAGGTAATGATGTCTGTTTGTACACCTCTTGTGGAATTAGTTATCACTAGCAGATTGTTCTCCCATTTGAGAACTTCTCAAACTTGTTCTCCCTTCGGCATCTATGACGCTAAACCTCCTGGTTTTCCTTGTACCTCTCTGGCTGCTGCTTCTCAGTCTTATTTGCCTCTCCATATATTTGCCCCTTGACTATTGGTATTCCTCACCCTCAACCCTAAAGTCTGGGTGAGCTCATTCACTTTCTTAGCCTCCTCCTCTATTTGACCCTTTCATATTGGGATTCCGTATCTTCTACCCTTAAACCCTAAGTAAGTTCATTAACTTCCATAGTTTAAGTTATCGTTTACATATCGTTATGTTTCAAATGTATATCTTTGGTCCAGATTTCTGTTCTAAGAACCAGACTTGTATGTCTAGTTGGGTACTGGACTTTTCCACTTGGATATCGAACAGGCATCTTAAACTAAATCCATATGCTCTTTAACTACTCTTCCTCTCCTCTAACATGATTCTCTTTTGTATTCCCTAATATAGCAATTGCATGTCATTGGGATCCTAGAGGTCATCCTAGACTCTTACATTTCCTACACTAGAGCTGATGTAGAGGGGGCAGGGCTAGAGGTAGGCCAGCCATTCTAGAGGCCGGTACAATCATCTAGTCAGGAGGTAATAAGGCCTGGATAAGAATGCTTGCATTTCTCATGCCTGTATCCAGGGCTGAGGAACCAGAGAATATATATGCTGGTGCCCCTAAACTCTAAAATAGTTCATTACCTCCCCAATCAGATTTGAAGTTCTCCAAGGAGTACGTGACTCTCTCTCTCTCTTCATATTAAGCATTCCATGAAGGTGGGGCTGCATCTCCTTTAATACAAGACAAGGGGAATAACCTAGCCTACTGGGACTCAGGTTTGGGAGTCTGGGGGAATAAGGGTTATTTACTTCATCCAAGCCTTGAGCCAGATGCTGTGTCTTAGAATTAACCTCCACTCTCCTCACAGGTAGCTGATGGCCTGGTCAAGGTGCAGGTGGCTTTGGGGAACATCGCCAGCAAGAGGGAGAGGGTTAAGATTCTGTACAAAAAGAGTAAGTGCTTTCATGGTGTGCCTGCCTGCCTGACTTCCCATGCCTGTGCTTCATGGGACCTGGCCCTGGCCCTTCAGCCCAATAGATCACTGGTTTAGTCCTTTGGTGATAGAACGTGATGTTTCCCTGCTGAAGTAGTGAATTTACAAAAAGAGTAAGTGCTTTCATGGTGTGCCTGCCTGCCTGACTTCCCATGCCTGTGCTTCGTGGGACCTGGCCCTGGCCCTTCAGCCCAATAGATCACTGGTTTAGTCCTTTGGTGATAGAACGTGATGTTTCCCTGCTGAAGTAGTGAATTGGGGTATGCTTTTCGACCTTGCGGATAAACCCCAAGCCAATGACAGTGTCCTAAATTATGGGATGAGAGCTCTGCCTGAAAGCTCCCCTTGGTGAAGGAGGGTAAAAAGGATATGGGAGGGGCCGGCCTGTGGCTCACTTGGGAGAGTGTGGTGCTAATAACACCAAGGCTAAGGGTTCGGATCCCTGTATAGGGATGGCCAGTTAGCTCACTTGGGAGAGCATGGTGCTGACAATACCAAGTCAAGGGTTAAGATCCCCTTACCAGTCATCTTTTTTTTAAAAAAAGGGTATGGGATTTTCTCAGGCAAGGTTAAGAGACAGGAAAGAAATTAGGCATTGAGAGCTGCAGCCTTGGTTCAGCCAAACCTTTTTGGTTATGTCAGAGTTAGTAACCTGCTCAGTTAACTAGAAATCAGACAAAGCTCTGGTTTGTCATGGTGGCATTGATTGGGGGAAAAGGCCTTCTACCCTTGGTGAGGATAGGTCAGTGGGAATGTTGAGAACCCCAGAGTGGTGGTGGTGGCAATTGTTTATAGCTCTGAAGCTTGTGGTCGGTCAGTAGATGATGAGAGTGAAGAGACAGGGAAATGGGGATAGGGAGCTTGGTAGAGGTCTGCTGATGGGGTACTGTGGGTGTCAGCCCCTAATTCAAGGCTCTCCCCAAGACTGACTACTCCCCAAACATCCTTCATAAGATAGAGCTCTTCTCCAACCCTATTAGTTCCATTTTCCATCTTGCTACTTTTCTAGTTGAAGACCTGATCAAATATCTGGATCCTGAGTACATTGACCGCATTGCTATACCTGATGCCTCTAAGCTGCAGTTCATCTTAGCAGGTAATGCTGGATTATGTGTGCACATGCATCTGAGGGTGCGGGTTGTGGGAGAAAGTGGGCACAGAGATGGCTTCCTCATCTAGTCTTCTCATGGATACAGCCCCCTGGGAGCTGCTTTCTGGAATGCTGGCCTGGCTCTGGGCTGAGGCCCAAGGTGGTCCTGTGGGTCTTCTAGTAGTCACTGGGTGTGGTATACCTCTGAGCCAGCTGCAGGCCATGGTGCCAGCCACAGTGGTAGCTACTCCAAAGTTCTATCAATGGCCTGCGCTAGGATTTCCTTCAGAACCTTTCTCACTTCTGCTTACTGGACAGAGGAGCTTCTAGGAAAGGGTGGGGGCAGAGAGCATTGCCATTTGGGAAAGGAGAGTTATTGCTGTGAGTTTCAACATCTTCCTTTCATGTTAAAAAGGTCTGGGATTTCAGAGTTCTGGGCAGAAACTGTTGCCTTGGCAATGTCTGCTAATCAGTCCGTCATCTACTCCACAATCTAGGGTTTTCTGAGCACCAGTCAGTCAGCCACTCCACAAGCTAGGGTTTTCTAAGCACAAGCTAGCGTTTTCTTTTTATTCATCCAAAAGATGTTCAATGATCATCTACTATGATCCAGGCTCTATCCTAGGTGTGAGGTGTACAGTGGTGAACCAGAAAGTCTCTGCCCTCCTGGGCACAGCCAGAGCTAGAGGACACAGGGTTTCTGCTTGTTCAGGAACCCGAGCTTGTAACCTAGCTGGGAGATCAGTTTCCCAGGAGACTGCTCAGTGCAGCACAGCACAGAGGACTGGGTGAGGAGGGGCAGCTCCTGCTGAAGGGACTGTAAGAGCTCCCAGAGGGCTCCTGATCAATTGCCATGACTTAGGCACCAAGTTCAAGAGGTCTTCCCCTGCACTGGCCCTTTGAGCCCAGCCTGTCCATCCCTCCCCATGGCTCTGCCTCAGGCAGTGTGCATCCACTCACACCTGAACAGTTGCACAGTCTCCTAAATCATCTTCTTGACCCTAATCATTCCCTTCCCGCAGGTGGTCTAGTTTCATCTTCAAAAACACATTTCCAACATGCTACTTTGCTTACTTTGGAACCTCAGTGTCTCCTTTCCTTTCTCGGATAGAGTCCTAATTCCTTGGCCTGCCATTCCAAACCTTCCAGTCTGCCAGGCCTACCTTCCCATCCAGCTCTGTTTCCTGTGTTCTCCCTGTTTCAGTTCAGACAATAAAATTCTTTTTCCTCTACTAATTGACAAGCATTCCTGCCTCCAAGCATTTGCACATAACAGTCCTCCCTCTTGAATGCCGTTACCACTCTATAGATTTCAGTGCATTTAAATCCCCTGTGCATACAGAGCCCAGCCAGATTATGCTCCTCACTGGACTCAACCATTACTGTCTCAGCTCTGCTGCCACTTGTAATTGTCTGTGCCTCTGACAGCCACTGAGCAAAACCTGCCTGATATGGTCTGCTATGTGTCTCCTGTTTCTGACCTTTCTGGGGACCCTTGAGTATGGGGACCCACATCTGAAGTAGTGTGTCTCCCGTGGCCTAGGAGGCACTCACTGAGTATGTTGATACAAGGCTAGAAGAAGAGGCCTTGGAGTTAAAACTTAGAGAAAGGTGGGATTGAGAGAAATTGAGAGGCTCCTTGGGCTCAGGATGGGTCAGACCAAAGGCATCCAGGAGAGGTGGGGATAGGATAGGGAATGTGAACTTGGAGAAGGGGGCAGTGGTCAGACTTGCTGCCCAGAGCTGCCCAGGACCCGGCCATCTCCCCTGTCAGGTCCTCAGCCCCTTGCATGGGAGTAGCAGTACCCAGGCTTGCTTCACTACCACTGTCTTGTCTGTTTATGCTTCAGAGGAGCAGTTTATCCTCTCCCAGGTTGCACTCCTGGAACAGGTAGATGCCTTGGTGCCCATGCTGGACAGTACACACATCAAAGGTACCTCTCTGGGGCTGTGGCTCTACTACTCTGCTTGGGGAGGTGGGTGGATGGGCAAGACTACCCTGTGCCTCAAGTTCCCTGGGCTCAGGCTGGATCTGCTCCTTGTCTTTATCCTCACCCTGGGGGTAACTGCCACCTCTTTTGGGATTAAAATTACCAGGGCAGAGGGCCCAGTTTTAGGACCTCAGGCAATTTGGGCATAGGGACACTAGCATAAGCTGTAGCAGTCCCCACCTCTGGGGATTCCAACTGCCTTCTTCCCTGTCCCTCAGCATCTCTCCTTTGGGGTGCTGCAGAGCGCAGATTTTACTGCCAGAGTCCCTGCCAGGTACACGAATTCTTCCTGCTGCACTACTGAAAACAGTCCCTGGGACTGAGCTTTGACAAGCAGACAGTGGCTTTAATTGAATCCAGATATCCATCTTGTCTGTCTCTAGAGGCATTTTTCCCAGCTCCCCATCTCTGCCCCTGATCAGCTACCCGCTGAGTATCTGACAGCATTAAACCGTGGGCCCAGCATGGTGGCAGAGGCTCTGGGTGTTGGATTCCAGCTTAGGGACCTGGCATTCATCCTTAGCCCACCTGCAGTCTCCCTGTTCCCTAGGCCAAGTAGATGTGGCCTTGCTGGGCTGAGAGCAAAGGGACAGATCCCATGATAGGCAAAGCTCTCTTTACCTGGCCCTGCTTATAGCACTGGGGTCAGGCTAGGGGATGACACTGGGGACCCCAAGGCTTTGTCTTCTCCTCGAGAACCTGTATCCTCCCCTCCCCATGGGACCTGGAGTAAGATTGGGGTGGGCAGGAAGCCCCACCACCACTTCCAGCTGCAGTGGTCGATGAAGCCTTGTGTTTGTTTAGTTTTTCCACTCAATACTCTAATCCTGCTGAAGACCTAATAGACTATTGAGCAGTCCCGGGGGAGGGTACTAGCCTCATCAGGCAGTGTGCATTGTGTTTTACAGCTGTTCCTGAGCATGCCGCCCGCCTGCAGCGCTTGGCTCAGATCCACATCCAGCAGCAGGTATGGGAGGGGAGAGGACTGGAAGGGAAGGTGGAGGTGATAAGGCACCTTGTCCCCACTCCTGCCATCTAGGGAAGCAGCCTGTGGCCCTTCTAATGTCAGCTCAGAGGAAACTTGGAGGTTTATCCTTTATCTTCTGTATGGCCTAGAGAGGGGAAGGGACTTGCCTAGGGCCACATCCAGGTCTCCTGTCTCCCAGAGTAGGGCTCTTCTGAGGCACCAAAAGGTTAAAGTTGGAAGGTACCCAAGAACTCCTGGGAATGGTATGTCCTTAACTATGGGTAGTGGAGCTCTTTTTTTCACTATTCCCAGGCCCTAGTGTAAAGTTCAAAGAGGGTTCAGAAATAGGGACAGAAGAGGAAGAGACATATACTAGGGAGAATGTTTACTTAATGTGTTTACTACCCCTTCCATTAGTCTTTGGGCACCCATCAGTTAAGGCACCCATCCTGGAGCCTGAAAGTGCCCCCTTAACAATTTGCTCCTTTGGCTCTGGAGTTAAGCATCACCTTTTCTAGGCTCTATAGGGAATTAGGGTCCCTGATGAGGCATGAAGGGGAGATAGGGGGTTTTGCCCAACTCCTTTCTCTGCCACACTTTGGCCCTATAGGACCAGTGTGTGGAAATCACTGAGGAGTCCAAGGCTCTCCTGGAAGAATACAACAAAACTGTATCCTTTCTGCTCAGCCAGGTGCCTAATACGTGCTGTCTCTAAGCCCTGTCCTTTTGTTCCACCTCTAGCTCTCATTCCATCCCAACCAACCTATCTATTCCCCTGCTCCCCCACCCCCACCCCTTTTGGTAGATGCAAAATCTCTCTACTCCCTCACTAAGACTCCTGTTCTCACCTTGACCTGAGAACAGACAATGCTTCTCTCCAAGCAATTTGTGCAGTGGGATGAGCTACTTTGCCAGCTAGAGGCCGCCAAGCAAGTGAAGCCAGCAGAGGAGTGACAGCTGCTTCACATCCCAGGGCAGACCAGGGCCGCCAGGTGCCAGGGCTCTGTGCCAACCTGCCTTTGTAACAAGGCAGAGGCAACTCTGTATTTATTGGATTCCAGGCCTACATCTCTGCACTCAGGTGGGGCTCTGAGGTCAGAGGTTGGGTTACCTGAGATTTTCAGTTTACACCCCACCCCCACCCCCCATCAGTGTTCTTATTCCATGACAATAAATTCTAGAGCTCACTGGAGAAATGTGCTGGCTTCCTAGTCCAGGATGGGGTTGGTGGTGAGGATGGGGGTGGTGGGGAGCAGAACTGTCACCCTGCCTAGTGCTTGGACTGGGATCTATACTCATCCTGGTCTTGCTTTCTGGGAGTAGAGCTCTTAGGCTGTCATTTAGGGCTGGCCCGTGGCTCACTCGGGAGAGTGCGGTGCTGATAACACCAAGGCCAAGGGTTTGGATCCTATATAGGGATGGCCGGTTGCCTCACTGGCTGAGTGTGGTGCTGACAACACCAAGCCAAGGGTTGAGATCCCCTAAAAGGCTGTCATTTGATTGATGTGAGTGATACATTAGGCTATGTCAAATACCCTCTATATGTGAAATGCCATGCCAGGTGGGGAGGACTCATGTAGTATTCACCTAATCCCAGCCCTGCACAGGCTAGCGAGGGAGACAGTCAAGGAAAAGAGCAGTCCCACCAGTTTGGCATAGGGTCCTTTCTGGCACAGAAAGAAAAAGGACTGATGGGGAGGCAGCCTTGGGTAATATGCAGGGACTTTCAGAGCCAAGAGAGCAGCATGCTCAGAGGCAAAGAGGTGTCTTGAAGTTTCTCTCTTGGGAGCCCACGTGGTGCCATTGGCGGAGAAGGGAAGCCCAAGAGATTTGGATGCAGAAAGTTTTAGGTTCTGGGGAGGGAGGTTTGGAAGGAGGAGCGGGGAAGCGTGAAGAGAAAGCTGTGATAACCTGAGATTGGCACTGCACTCCACCAAGTGTTTGCTGCCCCCTTGTGGTCTCAGGGAGTGCTCTGGCTCCAGACTCCTTTGCAACTGCCTGATGGCCACCCTCAACCTGCGCGGTCTCACTGGCGCCTCAAATTCAGCATGTCCAAACTGATCTGAAACCTGGGAGTCATCCTAGACTCGGAATGCCCTGCTTCTCTGTTCAAACAGTCACCAACTTTTTACCGAATCTACCTGCCGTTATCACCCAATTTAATCCCCTTTTTTTCCATTCCCACTGCCATTTCTCTGGTTCACTAATTTAACAAATATTTGAGCGCCTATTATATGCCGGGCACAGTACTAGGCTCCGTGGACATGTCCCTGGCCACCGAGGCCAGGCAGGAGTCACCAGCGGCTGCGGCCCGATTTCCTCTACCTTTCTCTCCTCCGCTGCGGCCAGAGTGAGCTGTGTACAAGATCTGGTTCGACTGGACCTTATTGGGACACCCCCCCTCCCCCCGCGCGCCCCGTGGTTCGCCAGTACCCACGGGATGAGGTCGAAGCTCAGAACTCAGTAACTAAGGTTCTCGCCCGCGCAGTGGCAGCCACTCCAAACTGGACCTCTTGCTGGCATTCGTGGTGAAACCGCTGCTTCACCTTTGCTATTGCGGTGTGCTCCACGGGTACGTGCGGCGCTCCCATCTTCTTTTTGGGGGGCTGGCCGGTACGGGATCTGAACCCGTGACCTTGGTGTTATCAGCACCACGCTCTAACCATGAGAGCTAACCGGCCAGCCCCCATCCTGTAAAAGCCAAATCCCCTATGCCTCCTCAGACGTAGGACTCCTCTGACGGCTGCTCCTCTCATCCGTAGGGCTCTCTCGGCCCCATTAGGAGTGCTCCTGCCCGGGGCGTTACAGCAGAGGCTGTGCGCTTGTGTTCCCAGTCCCCGGGCGTCCTCGCTCAGCCTCAGTTTCCCCCGCAGAGGCACCACGGACGGTCCCGGGGAAAGCACGTTCCGCCAGGCTCCGCCCCGTCCTGCGTGCGCAGCCCCGCGGCCTCGGCGCGCGCCCGGCCTGCGCGCCATCTTGGCTCCGGATCTAGCGCGAGGTGGAGGCGGCGGCGGCCAGGACCCGGAGGGGTGAGGGGCGCTTGGGGATGGGGGGAGAGGGGACGCCTGCTCCTTGGCGGCAGTGTCCGGCAGGACCCTGGGAGCGGCCCGTGGCGATGGAGACGGCCGAAGCCGTCCAGGAGTAGCCCAAGCAGTCCTCCACGTCAAGCTCGGCTCCCAAGTTTCTGAGTGACCTGGGTTGATACGGATCGACCCAGGTAATCTCGGGGAGAGGGGTGCCCGGCCCTGTCCTAGGGATCCCAGAGGAGGTCGGTTTTGTCTTTGGGGAGCATTGTGTGAGGGCTGTATCCTGGGGAGCTTGGAACGAAGGGGCTTGGCCCTGTCTCCTGAGAACACAGAATGAGGGTCCCTTGTCCTTGTCCTTGGAGAGCCCCTAGTGAGGAGCACTCAGTCTTGTTCTTACGGAATCTGGGGTCAGGGATATGGGGTGAGGGGTCTGGGCCCTGTCCCAAGTAGCCCACGGTGAGGGGGCCTGGCCCAATCCCAATTTGGTCCTGTCTCAGAGACTCTAGAATTGGGGGAGCAGTAGGTTTGGCCCTGTTCAGAGGAATGGGGGTGAATGGGGTAGGATGGACCCTGTCCTGAGAAGCTGGGGATAAGAGAACATGATCCTGTTCCTCGGAAGTCTGGGATGAGGAGCTGGGCCATATCCTGAAGGGCGGGGGGGTTGGGGTGGCAGGGGATGGCCTGTAGCACATTGGTGGCACTCATCTGATTCTTCCCTGCAGTGAGCAGTGAGATTCACAGAAAGGACAGCAAGCAGGATGGAGCACTACCGGAAAGCTGGCTCTGTAGAGCTCCCAGCACCTTCCCCAATGCCCCAGCTTCCTCCTGATACCCTGGAGATGAGGGTCCGCGATGGCAGCAAAATTCGCAACCTGCTGGGGCTGGCGCTGGGTCGGTTGGAGGGTGGTAGCGCGCGGCATGTGGTGTTCTCAGGGTCTGGCCGGGCTGCTGGGAAGGCTGTCAGCTGTGCTGAGATTGTCAAGCGTCGGGTCCCAGGCCTGCACCAGCTCACCAAGCTGCATTTCCTGCAGACCGAGGACAGCTGGGTCCCATCCTCACCTGACACAGGCCTAGACCCCCTCACAGTACGCCGCCATGTACCTGCAGTGTGGGTACTGCTCAGTCGGGACCCCTTGGACACCAGTGAGTGTGGATACCAGCCCCCAGGGGCACCCCCTGGCCTGGGCTCCATTCCTAGCTCCAGCTGTGGCCCCCGACCCCGAAGAAGGGCTCGAGACACCCGGTCCTGAAGACTTGCTGAGCCAGGATGTTCTTCAGGCCTGAATGTCTGGGATGGCTGTGCCTTCTCTGAAGAAGTCCCCATGATTGCTTTCAACATCCCCAGCAAGACTTGAATCCATAAAAGTGGGCCTCCCAGTCCTGCTTCTCTCTGGCATGTGAGAAGGGACTGCTATGAAAAGTAATATGTGTGGGGTCTCTGCTGGGTTCCGGATTGCTCAAGAAGGGCTTACTCTGCCTTCCACCTGCAGTGCATCTATCTGATTTACCTTCTGACGGAGGTCCAGGGAGGGAGTTAGGAAATAAAGGTTCCTGCCCATTTGTCTGATGAACCTCTGCTTGGCCTGCTGTGTGGTGGTGGGATTAAAGGAATGGGAGTCCCTGCCCTTGCCCCCTGGAAGCTCATGAGCTGGAGACAGGAAGGGTAGGCTCAGGCTGGTGCTGAAAGGATCTAGTGCTGATAAGCCTCAAGCAGTCACCTGAATATATATGGAGTCCCCTGGGTTGGCTGTCTACTATCTGCTTTGGGCTGGTTTAGGGACTCTGCCAGGTCAGACATTTTTCTTCATCTGCAGCATATATTATAGTATAGTGTTTAAGATCATTAAGTCAGGCACTGGCCTGCGTAGGTTTGAATCCTGTTTCTGCCACTTACTAGCAAGTTCCTGCTGTGTGCCTTAGTGCTGTCATATGCAAAACAAGGATATGATAGCACCTACCCTATAGGGTTGTTACCTTATAGGATTGTTATGATTAAATGAAGAAATATACATATATGACACTTAGACACCACCTGGGCACATAGTGCTGTATAAATGTTAATTGCTATTATCATTAATGACTCCACTTACAAACATGCTTTTTCATATCTTAAAAACATATCTCAATCCCACATCTCTCTCCGGATCTCATCCTTGCCTTTTTACCCCTTGCTGCTCCTTTTCTGCCTCATCTTATCCTTAGGCTCTCAGGTTCACCATGGTGAGGTCAGGAGCATGAGGAGAGGGTGAAGTTTGTTTTATTGTTTGTTTGTTTGTTTGTTTGTTTGTTTTAAAGATGACCGGTAAGGGGATCTTAACCCTTGACTTGGTGTTGTCAGCACCACGCTCTCCCAAGTGAGCAAACCGGCCATCCCCATATGGAATCCGAACCCGTGGCCCTGGTGCTATCAGCACCGCACTCTCCCGAGTGAGCTACGGGCCGGCCCGAGAGGGTGAAGTTTGTATCAATAGCCAGGGAGCTGCAGGGACTAGAGCAGGACTGTGAGCAGTGGTAGACTTTGGAAAGTTGGATCAGTTGGGTGTTCCATGGATCTCAAGACCTTTTCCAATATGTCCAGCAGCCTGGGTGTCCAGTCATGAGGAAAGCAGAAGGATGGGGCTTTTCTGGGCTCACATTGTAGCAGGGTGGGCCCAGCAATTTGAAGGTGTTGAAGTGATATATAGCTGAGTCCAGGCAGCAGGGATTGAGATAAGGGGAGGGAGGGAGTCTGGAGGCCTTGGTAAGGTCTTAGATGAGGGGTGAGGTGACCACAGGGCTAGAAGGCTGTGGTCTAAACTTTAACCACTGCATCCTTTGCTTTCCGAGGTAGGTTGTCCCTGAGTGGTCTGGAGGAGCCTGGGGGAGGGGCAGGTGATGAGGATTCGAGGAATATTAAGAGATGAAACCTCAGCAGTTGCCCAGCCAGGCCACTTAAATGCAGAGGGTCAAGAAGCATCTAACACACCCCTAAAGGTGATTATGGCTGCTGTAGTGGTGTCTTGCTGCCAGCAACTGTCGGACTTCCCCATTCTTGGCAGCTAATTCAGGGTTTTTGCTCCCTTTCAGTTTTTACATACTGCTTTTTCTCTGAACGTCATCACTTGTGTGTCTTCTGCCATGAGCAGTACTGAGTGTCATTGAACTTCTAGAGCTTTGGGACCAGGCTACCTTGCAGACTGTTGAACTTTGGCTCAGCATACTCTCCTGATCCAGAGCTGTGGCCAGAGTATAGGAATTACGTTGAATAAACATGGTGACCTGTGCTGAAAGAGTGATTCACTAGGGCAGCACTGCAAGCTCTGGAGTCCCAAGAAGGGGTCCCAGTTGGGCTGCTTGTACTGAGACACCACCTGGGTCCCCAGGATGATGGCAGGGGTAGTGTGGAAGGAAATTGAGCTAGGGTCAGAATCCCTTGGGAAGATCAGAATCTGCACCTCAGAGAATCAGGAAATCAGCCACAGGCTGAGGGAAGGAAGGCTAGCAATTCTGGGGCATTTTTGCTTCCCCTTGGCCTCTAGAGGGCCCTGCTGGAGGAATTCCAGGCTGGGGGCCGGAGAGAGGTGAGGCCTTTGGAGTCAAAGCCTCATCAAGCTTAGAAAGGAACAGAAGACTTGTGTATGATCTTTCGTTCCCACTTTCTCCTTAATTCACAACACTGTAGCTTCTGATTCCGTAATTTCTTAGAGAAGGTTATGCCTTGACACAAAGGTAAGGAAGTAGAGAGCTTTTTCAAGAAGTTAGATTATGAATGGGTGGAGAGAGGTATGGAGTACAGTGGGTTTTTATTTGTTTGTTTTTCTTTTTTAATATACTAGCAGGGACTTCAGCATGTTTGTAGGCTAATGGAGGAAGCCAGTAGAGAAGGAGATTAAAGATGAAGGAGACTGTGGATAACTCACAGTATGAGGTTCTTGAGGGGCTTTAAGAGAATAGGATCCAGATATCTCCCTGAAGCAGGAGTCTAGCTCTGCTGCTGAGAGGGGTGAAGAAGCTGGTGTGAGATAGCTGTTGGCGATTGTGAGAGGTGATTAAGGGGATACAGGAAGGTGACCAGGCAAGGCTAAAAGCCCAGTTTATGCTAGTGACCATGAACTTATAGTCATCAGTTATGGTGTCTGAGCCCTAGCAGCACCCACAGGACAGGTGAGGACTCAGGAAAAATGCTGTTTCATTCTTCCAGACTGAGGTTAATAAGACAGGCAGGAATGATGGAAGAAGAGTGAGGGGACTAGGAAGAAAGTGCATGTAGTGAAGGACAAAGGCATCCAAACTGGGTTGGGAGTGAAGAGAAGATAGGGCACAGGGGTCACTGGCCTGGAGGTCTCCATGAACATGTCTGAGCTGGGTGAAATGGAGTGTCCTAAAGGGATAGGAACATTGTAGCTGTATTAGTTTCCTAGGGCTGCCATAACAAAGTACCTCAAACTGGATGGCTTAGAACAACAGTATTTATCATCTCAGTTCTAGATACTGGAAGTCCAAAATCAAGGCAGGGCCAAATCAAGGCAGGGCCATTATCCTTCTAAAACCTGTAGGGGAATCCTTCCCTGCGTCTTCCTAACTTCTGGTGGTTTGCTGGCGATCTTTGGCTTATAGATGCGTCACTCCAGTCTTCTGTCTTCACATGGCCCTTTCCCTGTGTGTCTTCACTCCATCTTCCCTTTGCGTATGTTTGTCTCTGTGTCTAAATTTCTCTTTTTTGTAAGGACACCTGTCATATTAGATAAAGGTCCACCCTAATGACCTCATTTTAACTTAAATCATCTCTGTGAAGATCCTGTCTCCAAACACTGCCACATTCTATGGTATTGGGGTTAGGATTTAAACACATGAATTTGGGGGGGGAGGGTGCATAATCCAGCCCATAAGATAGGTATTATAGCCCCACTTGACAGAGAAGGAGAGTGGGCTTGAAAAGTCCAAGGCCAGAAAGACAGTAAGTTGTGAAGTGAATATTCTTCTGGGTCTGTCTGATTCCAAAGAGCTCTTACTCACCACCCTAAATTGCTCCCCACCCTGACCTCACCCGGGAGCGCTGCCGCGCTTCCCAAGCAGCGCACTATCCAGTGTGCCACCGGGCCGGCCCCAACTTGGTTACTTCTGTAAAGACCCTATTTCCAAATAAGGTCACATTCTGAGGTACTAAGGGTTAGGATGTCAGTATATCTTTCGGAATGTAGGGGGCACAATTCCACCTGTAACTAGCTAGTGGAGGAGTCAGCGGGTTTGAGAGTTTTAGGAGCTGATAGGATTTATTGGTGGGCATGAGAGTAGATTAGCTGGGTGGCCTGGAGGAAAAGTCACTGAAGATGAAGTTGAGGAATTAAGGGAAGGGTGGTGTATGTGGAGAGATGGAAGGAGCATCAGGTGGGCAATGGACTCATTCAAGATGGACTGTGTTGCCTATTCATTCTCACCACCTGCCTTAGAGGGTGGCATGTACAGCCACCTCATGTTTGTCACACTTGAAATGGGGACTTCAGAACACAATATTCCTAGAGGAGTTATATACTTTTCATATCCAAGCAAGCACCAAGTCCTGGCAATTTTGCCTCCTAGGGTCTCTCTATCCCCACAGCCTCTGTTGGTTTGTGTCGCTCCTTATCTTGCAACAGTCTACTGGTCTCCCTGCTTCACTCCCATTTGAGCTCTCACCTAAATCATGCAACTGGTGTTCACTTTGTTTAGAATGCTCTTCTCCCATATACCTACACGGTTATCTCCCTCCACCCTTTAAGTCTTTTATTTATTTATTTTTGGTGGCTGGCTGGTAAGGGGATCCAAATCCTTGATCTTGGTGTTACCAACACTGCACTCTAACCAACTGAGCTAACCAGCCAGCCAGCCAGCCCCTCCTCCTTTAAATCTTTGTTCAGATGTCAACATTAGTGAGGCCTACTCTGGCTACCCCATTTAAAACTGCAGTCCAGCACTTTTGATCTTTCTTACCTTGCCTTTTTTTTTTTTACCTTCTAAATATAATTTACTTCTTTAACATAATATTTTTGTTTATTGTTTCCTCCTGATGAGAAACTAAGCTCCAAAAGGGCAGGGATCTAGGGCCGGCCCGTGGCTCACTTGGGAGAGTGTGGTGTTGACAACACCAAGGCCATGGGTTCAGATCCCTGTATACAGATGGCTGGTTAGCTCACTTGGGAGAGTGTGGTGCTAACTACACCAAGTCAAGGTTTAAAATCCCCTTGCCGGTTTTGCCTCCTAGGGTCTCTCTATCCCCACAGCCTCTGTTGGTTTGTGTCGCTCCTTATCTTCCAACAGTCTACTGGTCTCCCTGCTTCACTCCCATTTGAGCTCTCATCTAAATCATGCAACTGGTGTTCACTTTGTTTAGAATGCTCTTCTCCCATATACCTACACACCCGTGGCCTTGGTGTTATCAGCACCGCACTCTACCGAGTGAGCCACGGGCCGGCCCATTGCCGGTCATCTTTTAAAAAAGGGGGGTGGCAGGGATCTTTGTTTATATTCACTGATATAACCTAAGGCTTTTGAACATCACTCGGTATGTGGTAGGTGCTCAATAAATATTTAATGAGCGAATAGATGAATGTTG